GTGACTAACCCCCCCCCCCCCCCCGTTTCGTGTCGTTGCTTCTCTGTCCTGTGTCTACGTTGTTTCCACCACATCCTGCCGCTGCCAGCAAAAGTGGCCTCCCTGCCACACTTACATCCCCTTTTCCCCTCTCATTGCAGCACTGGCCTTTCCTCCTCTCCCCTCCCACCGGTTTCAAATGCTGCATGGGAACCAGAGGCTTTACAATAATCCAAATACATCCTCCTACAGCTCCAACTATCCCATGCAGTGAACCCCCCCACCAATTCCCAGGCGCCCCCTACCCAGAGTGCAGCTGGCCAGCTTCCTCTCCTCCCCCTCCCACCAGCAACTGTTGCTGAGGCATTGATGTGGGAGAGTTCATTGTCAGGATGAGGCTGCAGAAAAAAAGAATGAGGAATCTATGTAAATCCCTTTCCTTTTCAAAAAAAGAGACATCAGTGGTCTGTTTACACCCCTGACATCTCACCAAAGCCACCACTCAAAAAAAAAAAATTGAAAAAAAAAACCCACAACATTGTAAAAAAAATTTTAATATAAAAACATAGTAAGGCCTCATTCAAACAGGGCATACTACAGTGTCCTTCTGTGCAGCTGCTGCATCCCAAATGATATGAATGGGACTGCCTTCATGGGAATGCATGGAACGTCTGTCCATCCCTGTATGGGTACACATGACCCATCACAGGCATACGCTTTCTTAAGCCCCATGTGAAAGGCCTTAGCAGGAATTTAGCAGGAATGTGTTTGTGTCCACTAATGATTGTAGTGTCTTTTTAGTGAAAATAGTGATTTGATAAACATTTGTGCAACTATTGAGAGGCCTAAAAAATCAGTAGGACGATTTTTTTTTCTATAGGTCATGTAATTTCAGAAAATGTATGTATGTATGTATGTATGTATGTATGTATGTATGTATGTATGTATATATATATATATATATATATATATATATATATATATATATATAATGCTGTCATTGCTGCCCAGCCATTCAAGTGGCCAAAGAGAAAGAAGGGCTCAGTGCTGACTGAAGATGCTGTCAGGATTATTAAAAAAAAAAAAAACAACTTTGTTATTTGACAGTTTAGCAGCCTGGAGAGAATTATACTGATCAGTCCTGAGAACCTGCAGTAAACAGGAAATCCTAACAAAAGAGAATAGTCTCACACTCAGAAATTTGAGGTAGATATCCAAACCATTACCTTAACAGCCTTCTGTAGTTGAGAGAGAGCCTCTTCATATCTCTGCTCAAATTGCCTCAAGTTCTCCCTCTTCACCAGTTGCTTCTGTAGCTTTGGTACTCCAGCTTCTTTCAACATGTTGAAATATCTCTGCTCCTGAGAGAGTAACATGAGCAAGTGAGAAAGTCAGCAGGCTAAGAGCGCACAATTGATGTTAGTTTGAGCACTGGTTCACACTGATGAGGTGCGATTTCTATGCGTTTTCAAGTGCAATTTTAGGAGCAGTTGTGGTGCGATTCTGCAGCGATTCTAATTTTACACAGCAGTGATTTCTGTTCTGGCTAATTTTATGACATTAGAAACAGGTGCATCTTGCACTGAAATCACGTTGCATTTTTCACTGCTATTTCCAATCAAGTCTATGGGGATCAAAAACGCTTTGCATTGCACACACATGGAAATCGCATCATGTTTGGATTGCAAAGGTGTGAATGACCTCCATAGAAAGCCATTTTATCTTCCTTGACATGCACATCTATGTATTCTGGAACGCATCAGATTAGCATCACTGTGAACCAAGGCTAAAGGTGTAAATAATACAAAAGTGCTGTAACCTTATGAGATAGGAGAGCTAGCCAGGCACCTTTTAGCCAAAGGTCAAATCAGGTGAGGCCTGAACAATCACATAATAAAACCTGAAAATCTGAAAAGCATGTGAACAGTGTACTAGATGGGGCCCTTGCAAATCTTCAATACAGATACTTAATGCTGGACAGCAGAAGAGGCACCAAAAAACCTGGTAGAATGAGCTCTAATAGGAAAATGAGGAACTTTTTCCTTAAGGGTATAGGCCCTGTAAAGAAGTGTGATCCTCCTGCTAATGGTGGAGCGAGAGCCAGGATGTCCTCTACAAAAGCCTGCAGGTAAGACAAAAAGGGACTGTTTTGCGAAAAGGAAAGGTCAAAAGAGAAAAGGAAGACAATATTCTCACTGAGGTGGAACAAAGACAACCTGTTAAGAAACCAAGGTCTTGGCCACAGGACCAGCTTGTCTCTGTGCATTAGAAGGAAAGGATCCTTACAAGAAAGGAATGCCAGCTCAGAAACATGCCTAACAGGCGTAATGGCCACCAGGAAGGCAATCTTACATAGGGGATCTCCCTAAGAGATATTTGTAATAGGCTAAAAGTGGGTTTATGGTGTACACAGAGCACCACATTGAGAACCCAAGGAAACACTGGGCTGCACCGGGGGTTTTATATTAGCAACTCCCTGAAGAAAAGTCTTGATTAAAGACTGTGAAGTGAGGGTTTCTGGAAAATAATGGATAAGGCAGAAATCTGTCTCTTAAAGGGTACTCAGGGCCAGATGCTGGTGTTGACGAGATTGCAGTAAGGCCAAAAAACAACATAATATTTCCTGGGGATCAGCTGTCTATATTTGCACCAGGCAAAATAAAAGCCTTCCATGTGTGATGGTAGATCTTGTGGAAGGCAGATTTTCTCCCTCTGAGTAAGGTGGAGATAACAGAGTCAGAGATACTTCTATCCTTCAGGACCTGGGATTTAACAGCTATGAATTTAAAGCCAGTGACTGAGAAGCAGGATAGGGGGACTTGTCAGTAAGCCTGGTCTTTTTGGAAGAAGCCTGGGTTCATCTGCAAGAAGTCTGTGCGCCACGTCCTTCTGAGCCAATTCGGTACAACAAAGATCACCAGAACCACCTTTCTACCTACATCTTGCCAGCACAGTCGAGGGAGTATCTTTATCAGAGGGAAGGCATAGATGGAGTCCAAGAAATCACCAACGTACCCTACTGCGAAGGCTAGAGGATCCCCTGGTCCTGGCTAGAATTCAGTTTGTTGTTGAACCTGGAGGCCAGGATGTACACATTTGGTTTTCCCCTCCTTTGACAAATTCTGGAATATACCAGGGTGCAGAGACCACTCCCCTTGGTCTAGGCAGTGAAACTGGGCAAAAGGAACTGCCATCAGGGTTAGAATGATCAAGCATAAGCAAATGCCAACTGACTGCCACCAACTCTGAGGAGTGGGGACATGAAGTTGACACCTTGGGAAAAGTGAAAACACCCCTTTCACTGAGAAAAGGCAGTAGTTATAGCAGACTTGGGCTTTTTCTTGTGTGGTAACAGCACCCTCCCTAGTGACATCCTTGATGAATTTACTATGAGATTCCCCAAATAGGAGTTCACCGTCCCATTAAAATGTATGCACATTAAGTGCCTCTTACAAACAGGTTCAGCAGACCAAGCTTTTAACCACAAAATCCTGCACATATGCAAACAAATAACAGCCATTCTAGAGACTTGGCGATTTAGATTTTCTAAAGAAAAAAAAAAAAAAAAAGGCTGAGAGCATCAGCTGCAATTGTTCATGCTCTCTATTCATTTGTCTTGTCCAATTAACAATAGTCTGGAAAATAGACATGACAGAGATTGCTGGATGCAGGGCTGGACCTGTAAGTGCAAATGAGACCTTTAAAAGGGTTTCAAAATGCTTATCAACAGAATCCATAAGCTGTGTACACACTATAGGAAAATCAGGCGAATGATTGGCCAGTTTCCCTCGTTGTTTCACAGCAAGTCAAACCCCTGGATGGTACTAATTGTACGAAAATTCTCGAATGACAGAGGCACTTTTTTTTTTTTTTGACTTAGAGACATTGTAGCACAGATCATCGTTTATAGTTTCTGATCATGCGTTGTCTTTTGTACCTGATTGTTCCCTTATACAAAAACCGTACACATTAAGGCCTCCTGCACACTGCAGCATTAATAAGCATTTTTTTTTTACTGCAGTAAAATGTAGCCCATTATTTAAAACGTGCCTTTGCACACAGGCGCATAAAGAAGCACCATGTATTCTTCATAAAAAAAAAAATGAAAATCTGCATTTTTTTGGTTAGTAATTTACACCATATTCACGCATTTTCACTCAAATACATGCATATGAGTATAATTACCAATTCATTTTCCCTGAGAATATATTGTGGGAGCGAATACGTGCAAAACAAATGCTTAAAATTACGTCCAAAAAAGCAGATGCTCAAACATCAGAACCGTGTCCAAGAGGCCTAAACCAAAATCGTTAGTTCTAATCAAGTACGAGAACAATTGTGGAGTTAGTTGCTTCCAGAATTCGCATTGCATTTGTGTGAACACCCATGCAATGCAAATCAGGTGCTGGTAAAAAAAAAAAAAAAAAAAAAAAAAAATCGGACTTCAAAGACATTGCATGTGATTTGCACAGGAATGCGGTGCAATTCTTGTGCGAATTACATGCGGTGTCCCATACCACACAAGTGTGAACCTAGGTTCAAACCATCAAATGGCTGTTGTTATAATTGATCACAGTTGCAGATCAAAGGCAAAGCTTTCTTGGCTAAAAAGGATAGGAGGGTTTAGTTCTGCTTTAAAAGAGAGAACATCCTCAACAGAAACTGTAAAGTGTTTATTGAGGACTGAAATGGCAGCATCTACTACCGGAACAGCCAATTTTTCTTAAATTCCTTTTCCATGGGATGTATTTCAGCAAAAAGCTAAGGCGATAGCATCCATTCAAAGTCTAGGCCAATCCTTATATAATTCACATTCAATTTGTGTGTGGATGGAAAAAATCTTTTTATTTTCCCAGCCTCTGAACGCATATAGTGGCTTGTTTTACTTGTGGAGAATCAGGTACTGATAGGCAAAGACTAAACTATATTGCCAAAAGTATTGGGACACCCCTCCAAATCATTGGATTCAGGTGTTCCAATCACCTCCATGGCCATTGGTGTATAAAATCAAGCACCTAAGCATGCAGACTGCTTCTACAAACATTTGTGAAAGAATGGGTCGCTCTCAGGAGCTCAGTGAATTCAAGTGTGGTACCGTGATAGGTTGCCACCTGTGCAATAAGTCCACCCGTGAAATTTCCTTGCTACTAAATATTCCACGGTCAACTGTTAGTGGTATTATGACAAAGTGGAAGCAACTGGGAACAACAGCAACTCAGCCACAAAGTGGTAGGCCACATAAAATGACAGGGTGGGGTCAGCGCATGCTGAAGCGCACAGAGTACAGAAGTCGCCAACTGTCTGCAAAGTTAATAGCTAAAGACCTCCAAACTTCATGTGGCATTCAGCTTAGCACAACAGTGTGTAGAGAGCTTCATGGAATGGGTTTCAATGGCCGAGCAGCTGAATCCAAGCCTTACATCACCAAGTGCAGTGCAAAACGTCGGATGCAGTGGTATAAAGCATGCCGCCACTGGATTCTAGAGCAGTGGAGACACGTTCTCTGGAGTGACGAATCATGCTTTTCTGTCTGGCAATCCAATGGACGTGTCTGGGTTTGGTGGTTGCCAGAGCGGTACTTGCCTGACTGCATTGTGCCAAGTGTAAGGTTTGGTGGAGGGGGGATTATAGTGTGGGGTTGTTTTTCAGGGGTTGGCCTTGGCCCCTTAGTTCCAGTGAGGGGAACTCTTAAGGTGTTAGCATACCAAGACATTTTGAACAATTTCATGCTCCGAACTTGGTGGGAACAGTATGGGGATGGCCCGTTCATGTTTTAACGTGACTGCGCACCAGTGCACAAAGCAAGATCCATAAAGACATGGATGAGTGAGTTTTGGGGCAGAGAAACTTGACTGGCCTGCACAGAGTCCTGACCTCAACCTGAAATAACACCTTTGGAATGAATTACAGCGGAGACTGCGAGCCAGGGATTCTTGTCCGACGTCAGTGCCTGACCTCATAAATGCACTTCTGGAAGAATGGTCAAACATTCCCATAGACACACTCCTAAACCTTGTGGACAGCCTTCCCAGAAGAGTTGAAGCTGTTATAGCTGCAAAGGGTGGGACAACTCAATATTAAACCCTACAGACTAAGACTGGGATGCCATTAAAGTTCATGTGCGTGTAAAGGCAGGCGTTCCAATACTTTTGGCAAAATAGTGTAGTTTGCACTGTGTCAAATCAGTGAGTCAACAGTAGAGAGCATTTGTCAAAAAGCCATAGCTTGTGGGCCATAAAATGCAAGAATTAAAAAAATCATCTGCAGCTTTCACTACAACATCTGAATTCCCATCACTTTTACCCATGTCTTCCTCAAACTAATTTGGAGGTTCCATCTCTGATCTGTGAGTCCATTTTTGTTTTTTGAAGTGTAGCTTTTTTGGCCTCTGGAAATTGAAGGTTCTTGGAGAACTGATAGTTTTACAAAAAATTCAGACACGACAGAGAAATCTGCTTTTGTAAGATGGCCTCTTGGTATGCAGCATAGAGGGAATTAGATTAAAGCCCAAAAATAAACTAACCCCCACCTTTTTAAAACTTATAAAACAGCCTATACTAAATGCAGAATTTTGAGGATATATTGATCTACAAATCGTAAGTATGTTGGTTATTGGCATATTATTGAAACAGAAAAGCATACCTGGATTTTCAGAAGCATTGTGAATGCCAGACCCGCCTTTCCTGCACGAGCCGTCCTGCCCACTCTAACAAGAAAAGCCAAAACGTTTACACTGGAATAAACATTCTCCATATCAAATTTTTCTCACCTCTAAATTTTTCAGTAAATAATAACAGACTTTAAACTTTCTAGAAATAATACAATAAGTATAAAAGAAATTTAGTTTACTTTCACACTGCTCCACTGCAAAAACACAGTAAAAAGGTATATGCATTTTTGCACCTGTGAAAAAAAGGACATGTGACTCAAAAAACACACACCAAAAACACAACCAGGGTGTGTTTTTTTTTTTAAGCATTTTCCATTCATTTCAATGCCGCTTGCAGGACTTTGAAAAATACAACGGACCCGCAACTGACCAGTGTGAGGAGTTTCAAAAGGATTAAATGGTCAAGAGTTTCTCTTCCACAAAAATGGAAAAAAAAAAAAACGATCAGTGTAAAAGCAGCATTATACTTTACGTTACCGAAACTAAGTGCTGGGGAAATTGAACATTGAAAGAAGTATTTGGTATACAATAAATTTAGATGTACAGAGTTAGCAAATGTGTGCTCATTCTAGCATTGGAAAGATCAGTGTAAGAGGAAAAAAAGAATGAGCACAAGAATACTACATGGAGAATAGCTCCAGTGATTTGAAGGATTGCCCTCATTATCTCTATAGAGAAGTATAGCATGCTATGGACTTCTCATCCTGCGGAGTAGGAGGCATATCAGTGTGTTTTGCTGGGACTTGTAACAGACACAGGGCAGAAGCCATTGGTTATTACCATAAGCATCTGTATTCTGTTTCTGGCTGAACAGCGTTTTCCATCTATCTGATGTGTGGCAGCAGAGTATACATAAGGTGTAATCAAATTTATAATCTGTATCAGTTGCCTCCTCAAAACACCTTTGCTAAGGATGGCTATGCACTAGCAGATTTTTCAAATAAATGTTCGTACAAAAATTTTTATCAGTACAATTGATGCCTTGACAAATGTCAAAAGTACTTAAAAATTTTGTTTGCTTTTAACATTCGATTTTGTAATGCACTTTCGTTCAAGAAATATTTTCCATCCTGCTCCTTAGAAATGTTCTCATCATTGTGGTTTGACCCCACCCTAATCAAAGAACCTTCCTGAAGCAAAAGGTTTTTAATAAAATTCCTTTTAGTGTATAGCCAGCTTTATGGTGCTCTGATTGGACAGTGGGCTGGCATGGGGCAGTGTTCCATCCCAAGCAGGAGAAAGTGCAATCATTACGGAAAACACTAGGGAAGCTTCTAAGGGAATATGCCACTGCTTTACGGGTATGGGCACAAACGCCATCTCACAACAAAACAATGCAGTAGCAGTCAGGCAGCAATTCCTGTGTTTCACAGACTGTGTAACAATTGAGTACTGTCCGTGATTACTTTTTTTTTGTTTCTGTCGCAAATGCACTAATACGGCTACAATCACCTCAAGCAAAACAGTGTGTAAAAAGCCTTCTGACAATCCCCTATTTTCTTACTAACTAGCGCAATTAATTGAAATCACACCAATCACAAGCATTGGTGATCATTTTTATAAAACTGATGGTTAGATACATATGAATTATAATATAGTGGGAATACGATACAAAATATAACACTTCAAAAAAATATACACAAATATTTAAATCATTTGACATAAGTCCACCAACTGAAAAATGAAAATTGTGATGAAGTGCAAAGTGCTTATTGATCCACCGTGATCACCACGTGAACAACATAACAATAATTGGTTGAATAAAATGCACTCAAATATCACCACGTGCTCCAGAGGAAAACTTCCCCCAATGAATTATAATATGCCATTCTGTGTGCGATAAAAGGTAGACACACCTGTGAATGTAGGTTCTGATGAACTGGGGAGCGTCAAAGTTTATTACACACTTCACTCCTTTAATGTCTATTCCTCTGGCTGTAGCATCTGTACTTATTAACCTGTACAGAATGATGAAAAATGGAGAGCTGTCAGAAGCAAACACTGTAAAAGCGGAAAAGGAGTTTTAAAAAAATGGCAATTGCCAGATATACAATAAAACTACATGAAAAACCTATATGTGAGATTTTCTAAACTATGATAGTTTACACAGAACAGAAAAGGCACAAAAAAAAACAAAAAACAAACAATCAGTGAAACAATCACATGCAGATGGACACAAATACTGATGACATATGGGCACAGATGGATACAAGACTGATGAAATAAAATGCAATCTATTACATGTAAACTTACAAAAATAAACCTAAGCTAGCACATCATTACAACTCACAGCTGTAGCTTTCCCTGCTCAAACTCCTTCAGGGTCTTCTTCCTTTCCCCAGGGCTGAGGCGAGAAGAGAATTCAGCCACTGTAGTCCCTCCAAACAGCTTTACAAGAAGGAAGAGGCTGTAAAATACAATGAAGCACCAATCAATCCAGTGACGGTATGTTCAGCATATAAACACCACATTTATTAGCAGAACAGTCAAAATATATAGATGGGGGGACGTTTATAATAAATGTAATATGTAACTGACTGCTGGTTATATCATTAACCTAGGGAAATTATTTAAAAATATTTTAAGAACATTTTAAAAACAAGTTCAACATTAATCTTTAGTTGAAAACATGTTATAAATACAATACTAGCAAATAGAAACCTCCACTTAAAAAATGCAATACAAAGGAGGTGTATACAATAAGCAAGGGCTAAATAAAGTGCAATAACTAATCAGACTTTGGTTTACTTAGGTACACTCAGGGAACTGTATATTGTGCATTGATAGAATTTTCCAACAAAATGTTAAAGTATCAGTCTAAACATATCTGTTTAGTAAACACATTTTCGCTGACAGTGTATCTAGACCCTCCGGTCTCCAATCAGATCTATGGTCAGCTGCCAGAAATACCGACTGCATTCTCAGGTTCCCCCAATGGCACGGGACTGCCCGAGAAGGCCGTGGAAGGCAGCGGGGGAGGGGGGGCATTTTCTTTCGCTGCTTGTAAAAGCAATCCTGCAGCTAATTAGCCACTAGGATTGCTTTTACATGAAAGCCCATCGCCGGCTGAAAAAGTGTTACAAAGACGATCATCATCACAGGCATCATCCTGTGTAACCACCCAAAGTCCAGTAATGTACCAGTATGTCGCTGGTCCTTGTTCGGTGTATATGCGATGTTCTTTTTTTTTTTATGTGGGCTGAATGAAAAGAAAGAGAAGAAATATCTGCCAGAAAAAGTGTGTGGTATGCCCACTGTTAGAATATACCGCCCTGCATCCACCTACTTCTAATGGTGCCAGTCCAGTGATGTACCAGTATGCCGCTGGTCCTTGTTGGGTGTATATGCTATGTTCTTTTATTTTTTTTTTTATGTGGGCTGAATGAAAAAGAGAAGAAATCTATGCCAGAAAAAGTGTGTGGTATGCCCACCGTTAGAATATACCGCCCAGCATCCACCCACTTCTAATGTGCCAAAAATTTTTATAAAATATATATGCCGAAGCATACGGGCCATCCACCCACTGGCCACTCCAGGCCCCCATGCTTTGGCATATATGCTCTTTTTTTTTTTAACTGCGGATAAAAAATCTCATCCAACAGCGCTGCCCACATTGGCATATGTATATTCTGAGAGCAAGACCCTGTTGCTGTCAGAATAAACAAGTCGGTGCTCCAGATGATTGACATCCTCATTTCTCAAGCAGACTTTTTCCCCCTAAGACAGATATTTACAAGCCGTTGGGGGAAGCCCCGGCAATTAGGTCGCACGGTGTCACATGCGCCAGTTCCAAGATTGTACAAATGTCTAAAATAGTGGCATGCTTGAATAAAAATTGTTCACGTATAAGTGGTACCCCATATGAAAAAAAGGATGACACCAAGTCCCAAACTATCTTGCCACTGCTCCCCATGTAGTCTGGGCATCCAGGGGACTACACTTAACTATCTTTTCCCTCGTAAATCCGAAACTTATATGCATAGCCTCTTGCCCTCTTGACAGGTCTTCTACATCTTGACCCCATATCTGGCACGCTTGCTGGGGAGAAATTGCCTGAATGGAAGGCGGCCAGAAAAATTAATGAGGCACTCATCAACGCAGATGTTTTGCTGGGGAGTATAGGCACCTGCAAATTTTTGGTTTAGGTGATTTATGAGGGGCCCGAATTTTGTGGAGCCGGTCAAATTCAGGGACACCCCGAGGATGACAGAGTGTGTTGTCATTGAAATGCATAAAAACACATTATACTCTCATATCTATACCTGGCCATGGCAGAGGAGAACACGGAGATGTGATGAATCGGGTCTGTAGACCAATACAACCGCAATTCATTTTTTTAGTAATGCCCATATTGAGGGTTAGGCCCAAGCAAACTTTAAATTCAGAAACTGTAATGGATTTCCATGCAAACGGTCTGGCAAGGTTTGAATTTGGGTTGGCGGCGATAAATTGTTCTGCATATAATTTGCTTTGATCCACAATCAATGCATACAGATCTTGTGTGAAAAACAGCTCCAAAAAAATCAAGGGGAGTATTTATTATTTGCTGTTTCCACATGAATTCCGGGTTGGGCAGTGAATGGGGAAGTACGGGAGCTGCAAAATTTGTGGCCTACCAATTGAGATTTGCAAAACACATCCAGAAGAATACTAGGGGCTCTACGGGCCTGTGTGCGAATTCTTGGTGGTTGCAGGACAATACTTGTGCTTGCCACCGCACCAGCTTGTACTGCACTTATGGGACTTACAGAGCACCTGGCTGTCAGGGACTGCTTGAACTGCTACAAAATAATGTAGTGCTAACAGAGATCAGGCCTTGAGTCTGCGAACACTGCGGTTTTGTGTGCAATGTATCAAGTGACAGTAACCTACTGACACTGCACTTGCTGGGGGAGAAGGGGGGGTTAAGCGTAGGGGCTAAACGCAGGTGCCGAGGCTGATCCCGCTAACGCTGCGTTTTTGGGGACACTATACTAATGTGAACGCTGGTATAGTGCTGATCTGATCAAAGATATTGATCCGTTCAGACTCTATACTAGCAAAGAAGCTTTGTGTATGAGCGTGTTCCTGGCAATCAAGGGGTTAAGTGTAATTACTGGTGTACTGATGGGCAATCTTATGCTATCTGTGAAGGGCGCAAAAACCGTGGAAGCGTGAATTACGTATATATACGCGTGATTTTGTGCACCCAAGCCGCCCTGTAGCAGTATTTCTACTATAGGGCGGCGCGGAAGTGGTTAAACGTGTCCAGTAGAAAAAAATTTTAAAAAATCTAATTTCGTTATAAATTTATGCCAAAATGTATTCTGTGACATGTCTTTGCTAAAAAAAAAATCCCAATACGTGTAAATGAATTGGTTTACGTGAAAGTTATAGCGTTTACAAAATGGTGGTATAGATACTGTAATTTTTTTTTTCCCACTAATAATGGCGTCGATCAGCGACTTATGGTGGCGATCAGCTACTTATCAGCAACTGCGGCAGACATTCTGACATTGGGGGGGGGGAACTGACTTGGTGTCAATGACATCCCAAGTGAAACAATACAGTGATCAGTGCTAGCCCTGACACTGTAATAACTGGTCAGGAAGGGGTTAACATGAGGGGTGATCAAAGGATTAACTGTGTGCTGGGAGTGTTTTACTAGGGGGCGGGTGCTTCACTGTAAGCACACTGCTCTGGATGGCTCTGCTCAGCCATCCAGAGCAGTGTGCCCGAACTGACAGGGAGGACGACTGTTGGTAAACAAAGTAGCCCTCCTCCCAGTCGGTGATCCTTGGCAATCATCGGGTGCCGTCGGGTAATTACCGGCCGGGACCCAGTGATTGACACCTGGGGCCGTGATCGGCAGAGAGATTAGGGCGCACGCGCGCCCCTACCCGTAAATGCAAGACCACGTATATATATACAGTGGGGATCGAAAGTTTGGGCACCCCAGCTAAAAATTTGTATTAATGTGCATAAAGAAGCCAAGGAAAGATGGAAAAATCTCCAAAAGGCATCAATTTACAGATTAGACATTCTTATAATATGTCAACAAAAATAGATTTTATTTCCATCATTTACACTTTCAAAATAACAGAAAACAAAAAAATGGCGTCTGCAAAAGTTTGGGCACCCTGCATAGTTAATATCTTGTACTGCCCCCTTTGGCAAGTATCACAGCTTGTAAATGCTTTTTGTAGCCAGCCAAGAGTCTTTCAATTCTTGTTTGAGGTATCTTTGCCCATTCTTCCTTACAAAAGTCTTCCAGTTCTTGAGATTTCTGGGCTGTCTGTCACGCACTGCTCTTTTAAGGTCTATCCATAGATTTTCAATTATGTTGAGGTCAGGAGATTGTGAAGGCCATGGAAAAAACCTTCAGTTTACGCCTCTTGATATAATCCCCCGTGGATTTCGAGGTGTGTTTTGGATCATTATCCATTTGTAGAAGCCATCCTCTCTTTAACTTCAGCTTTTTCACAGATGGCATCAAGTTACCATCCAAAATTTGCGGAAATTTTATTGAATCCATTTTTCCTTCTACTCGTGAGATGTTCCCTGTGCCACTGGCTGCAACACAACCCCAAAGCATGATTGATCCAACCCCATGCTTAACAGTTGGACAGAGGTTCTTTTCATTAAATTCTGTGCCCCTTCTTCTCCAAACGTACCTTTGCTCATTCCGGCCAAAAAGTTCAAGTTTAACCTCATCGGTCCACAGAACTTGTTTCCAAAATGCATCAGGCTTGGTGTCTATATGTTCATTTGCAAAGTTCAAATGATGATTTTTGTGGTGAGGAGTAGAAGAGGTTTTCTTCTGATGACTCTTCCATGAAGACCATATGTGTACAAGTATCTCTTTATAGTGGAATAGTGTACCACAACTCCAGTGTCTGCCAGATCTTTCTGGAGGGATCGTGCAGTCAAACGTGGGTTTTGAATTGTTTTTCTCACAATCCTGCGAGCTGTTCTGTCTGATATTTTTCTTGGTCTTCCAGATGTTGCTTTAACTTCCACTGTTCCTGATGACTGCCATTTCTTAATTACATTCCGAACAGAGGATATTGACATCTGAAAAACGCTTTGCTATCTTCTTATAGCCTTCTCCAGCTTTGTGAGCGTCAACTATTTTCAGTTTCAGTCTTCTAGACAACTGCTTAGAAGAACCCATGGTGCCGATTGTTGGGGCAAGGTCAGATGAGTCTGGGCATTTAAAACCTTTGAGATTGACATCACCTGGTCTTCCCAGACGATGATTGAGAACAATCCATGACACTGGCAGTTTCTCAGCTTTGCAAAGGGGCAGTGCATGCTATAAATTCTGCAGGGTGCCCAAACTTTTGCAGACACCATTTTTTTGTTTTCTGTTATTTTGAAAGTGTAAATAATGGAAATAAAATCTAACTTTTGTTGACATATTATAAGAATGTTAATCTGTAATTTGATGCCTTTTGGAGATTTTTCCATCTTTCCTTGGCTTCTTTATGCACATTAATACAAATTTTTAGCTGGGGTGCCCAAACTTTCGATCCCCACTGTATATATATATATATATATATATATATATATATATATATATATATATATATATATATATACACATATACATATATATATATATATATACACATATACATATATACATATACACACACACACACACACACACACACATGATTTTGAGCACCCGTGCCGACCTGTGGAAATGCTGGTTAAAAAAAATGCTGCCAATACAAGCATAGGATAGTCCAAATGTTAACTGACAATCCTGGAGGAAAAGAAATTTAATTTCCAAATACGGAAAGGTTTCTTTAAGAGCTGTGAAAATGTGGAATAGACTCCCTCAAGAGTTGGTTCTGGCCAGCACAGTGGATTGCTTTAAAAAGGGCCTGGATCCCGTTCTTGGATACACAGAAAATAACTGGTTACTAACATTTATAGGAAAAGTTGATCCAGGGAATATCAGATTGCCTCTCGGGGGATCAGGAAGGAATTTTTTCCCCTGCAGGAGCAAATTGGGTCATGCTTTGCTGGGTTTTTTTTTTTCTTCCTCTGGATCAACTGTGGGTGTAGGATTATAACTTTTTTTAATGTATGGTTGAACTGGAAGGACTTTTGTCTTTTTTCAGCCAGACTATGTAATCCATATCTTAAGATCAGGTACATGACTCACCGGTGGGAAGACTCTCTGGAGTTGGCGAAGCAGAGGACACGGGAGAAGCGCAGAGTGAGCAAAAAGTGTAGGAGTATAAGAGGCTTGGAGTTTAGATTACAGGGAATGTAATAATGCTGAAAAAGACCAGAGAATGCTTATTATATTCTTATACATTATTGTATTCAAATAGATACCAAATGAAAAACAGTTCAAATATTCAACTGCAAAAAAATGATGGGTGTCCACACAAGTACAGATCTGAGGAGAACAAGCAGTGACACATCTGCTCGCCTTCATTCATTCAACAGGCTGCACTGATGACACCTGCCACAAATTTCAGCTCTGGTTCGGTTGGCATTCCAGTGCTGTACACATGCTGTGGTTGGGCCATCCCTTTGTCTATGGAGAATGACAAAATCTCTGGCTGATCATAAATATTTCCTAATGCTCACAAGCCAGATTATTATTAATTGGTTACTTAAGTTGTTACAGTGCTTTCAAACATTGAGCCAAATTTTTTTTCAAATGTATTCCTTTTTAAGTTCACAAGAGCACTGGTATTATGTAAAAAGTGTGGCAACCCATAGCAATCAACCAGATTTTAAATTACTGTTCAGTTAAGCAATTCTGTATAGTTGCTATGTACTGAGCATGTACTTGGGTACTATTCAAGAAACCTCTGAACTGCTTACCGTTAGGCCCTCCGGAAGTGAGAAGTTTCCAGAAGAAAGAGGCTCTTCTGGGTTCTCAGCAGTCTTCTTTTGAGGCTGTTTGTGGATGGAAGAGAATAGACGAGGCTGGTACAGGCCTAGCTGTTGAAGCTTCTCGGGATTGTGAGTCAAAGTGGCAGAGAAGAGCAGTTTCTGCAAGGGGATCTGATACTGGCTAGAACTGTAGAAGAAAACTATCAGTTTCATGGACACAAAGTCCTACAAAAAAAATGCTAAAATATTAATGGGTAAAAATGCTGGTACAGAACTAACAGATCAAATTACATTTATGCAGCAAGGAGGTGAATGCTCACAATATTTGCAAATCAGACCAACTACAAACCCTTGTCCTTCTGGATTTTTTACCTAATTCTATGGAGAACCTAGCACAGGGAGAGTGAAACATATGCACAACTAGCTACTTACTTGGCGACGGTGACCACTGCATGATCCTTTCTGGCAAAAAGCATTGAATGAGCATCTGAATGCACTTTAAACACTGCCTTAGTAACATGAGGTAGCCAGTCCTGATTCATAGAATCAATCATACGATCTGCTTCATCAATAACCTACAGGAGAAATATGACATAACTCAAGAGGCACTAAAACGCAACAAGAAAGCTTGTGTGTATTAACCTAAGGAGGTAAGGAAATAGTACAGTCCAGGTTTACCAAGAAGCGCAGATGCCTGAGAGTGAATCCCTCTGTCTGCTGAATGTGATCAACAAGCCTTCCTGGTGTGCACACAAGGATGTCAGCCAGACTGCAAGACCCAGACAACCTATTAGCAACAATATACAAAAAAAGTTAAACATTAAATGTGAAACAACAAGGCGTATGAAAATAAAAATATGTAATAACAAAGACACCTGTGCCACAATGTGAAATCTCTAAATTTCCAAGCTGATGCCTGAAAGGGTATGACACATCCTTGATAACATTTATAAGAAATAAAGGCAGCGTTAATGCCTGAAACATGTAAATCTACTGTGCAAACATAAAAGTACAAACGTGCCAACTTACTGTCTTAACCACCTGGGGACCGTCCCGACCCACAATGTACTGTGGATGGGCAGTCGCTGTAGACAAAGCAATGTACCTATACCTCGCTGCCTACTTCTGGGTTTCAGACACGTGCATGCGTGTCCCCCGGCCAGTACCCACTGTGACTGTACACAGCGGGAGCCTATCAGCAAGTCCTGGCCAATGATTCACAATCAGGACCTGCTGATCAGCTGTGAATAATCCCAGCCCAGAACACTGTGTTGCTAAACAACACAGAGCTCTGTACAAAGCGACCGATCTGTCAGTTTCTCAGCACTGCAAAGCAGAGATGAAAAACTGAGAAATCTAGTAGTAAAAAGCAGCACACTTTGCACATAGTTAGGAAAATATTTAACCCCTTGATCACTCTAGATGTTAACCCCCTTCCCAGCCAGTTTCAATAGTACAGTGACAGTGTATAGTACTATCACTGATCACTGTATTAAAGTCACTGGTGATGTCAGTAGCAGTTAGCCAGTTCCCCCGTAGCGTTGGTTTATCACAGTACCATTATAAGTCGCTGATCACTGCTATTAGTAGTATGAAAAAAAAACAAAATTCCAGTATATACACACCATAATTTGTAGGTGCTATAGCTTTCACACAAACCAATCAATATACACTTATCGGGATTTTTTTTTTTTGTATGCAGCAGAATACATTTTGGCCAAAATTTATTAGGAATTTTTTTTTCGGATATGTTTTATAGCAATACATTTTTTATAGCAGAAAGAAAAATATTTTATTTTTTTTTTTAATTTTAGGGTTTTTTTTTGTTTATATTGCAAAAAATAAAAATCAAATATCACCAAAAGAAAACTCCATTTGTGTGAAAAACAATATATAGAAATTTTGTTTTGGCACAGTACTGCATGACCGCAGAATTACCAATTAAAGTAGTGCAGTGACGAATAGCAATAAAATTACATGGTCATGAAGGGGGTAAAATCTTCTGGAACTGAAGTGGTTAATATATCTTCAACAATATGATAAATATAGTAAAAATGCGAAATACACAAAAAAAAATTTAAATTTTAAATATAATCTCAAATTCATATGTAATACCAAATTCAAAAATAAATATATATTCATATGTATTTACATATGAATTTGGTACTATATTTTCACATTGTATTTAGCATCTTTAGTAGATTTATCATATTGCTGAAGATATATTAAGACACAGAGCCAGTTGGCACTTTTGCACTTTATTGTATGGACAACAGATTTACATGTTTCAGGCATTAACGCTACCTTTATTCATTAGAAAATAAAATATGAGGTGGTCCTCCTGAAAAACTCACTTTCTAACTACCAAAGACTCCTGCTCCTTAGCAAATGATTTATGACCGGCTACCAAGACAACTTTGAGTCCACTACCATCCACGTAAATGTTAAACACCTTGCACACCTGACAGGAGAAGAAGAAATAAATGTCATTATAAAGAGTGAGAGAAGAGTGATTAATGACAGCAATAGCATGCCTATACAAATTCCATTTACCTGCTGTGCCAACTCCTTGGTGGGTAACACGACAAGAGCACGAACCTCACATACAACACGCTGCAGTAAAGCCTGTGGACCGACACATGCTGTTAAAAGCTCAGTGCTATTACATTTATTAATAACACTCAACCAGGGGTGGACTGACCATTTGGAAACTCAGGCACTGCCCGAGGGCCCGGGGTGAGTAGGGGGCCCCATGAGATGCCCCTGGTACCTTTTTCATAGGCTTTTTTGAGTTTGGGCAAGGACACAGGGGCCCTATAATTCCCTATTGTCCGGGGGCCCCATGAGTTGTCAGTCCGCCCCTGACTTTAACATATTCAGCAACACTTTACAATATAATGGTTTTTTGCAAGTGATGTTATCACAGTGACAACATAATAAAAAAAAAAAAATTATGTGAACGAAGTCAACTTGACAAAAAGAAAAACTTATCATATAGTTTGGAATTACAAATGTACATGGGGCAGCTATATTCACTCATTACAAACACTCTGCTTCTTTTGTCTGAAGTGTTGTGCATCACGGTTTCTTCTTTGAGAGATCACTCTGGAGGTTAAATGATATGAAAACCCAACAATGATCTTTTCTTATTTGCTTCCTTTTGGTTTGTTAAATATACCATTGAATGTGTTTTGTTATATCTAATCAAGAAGTGCTACTGCAGATTGTTGTAAGTAACCACACTTCCTAGGTCTCTCTAAAAAAGAAAGCCCTAAATGCCAGCTCCAACTGAACTTAGTTTCTGACACAGTGGAAACAAAATACTGCAGCAATACATTTTAACCATTTGAGGACTTTGAAGTTTTTAGGGTGTATCTCTTGTATTTAAAAGTTGTCTGCTATGGTCAGCTCCTCTTACCCGCCACTATTACTGTCAATCAAAATGTAAGTGTCATTCAGTAATACAGTGTAACAGTGTATTGTTACACAGTATTTACTTGTGAAACACTATTTACTTATCCATGGATATGTAGATCAAAAGGTATGACCTTTATTCTGCATATGACAAAAGCGGTTCTTCACTCCAGACAAAAAAAAAAAAAAAAATCAGCAGCTACAAATCTTGTAGCTACTGACTTTTAACCACTTGCCCTCCAGAGGATTTACTCCCCTTCCTGACCCGGCCATTTTTTGCAATACGGCGCTGCATTACTTTCACTGACAATTGCAGTCATGCAATGCTGTACAAAATTTAAATTTAAGTCCTTTTTTCCCCCACAAATAAAGCTTTCTTTTAGTGGTTTTTGATCATCTCTGTGTTTTTTTATTTTTTGCTCTATAAACAAAGAAAGACCGACAAATTTGGAAGAAAAACAAATATTTTTGACAATTTGCTATAAAACTTATACAGTAAAAAAATTTTAAAAAATCTAATTTCTTCATAAATTTAGGCCAAAATGTATTCTGCTTCATGTCTTTGCTAAAACAAATCCCAATACATGTAAATTCATTGGTTTAAGTGAAAGTTATAGCGTCTACAAATGGCGGTATATATAATGGAATTTTTTTTTATTTTTAATATTAGTAATGGCGGCGATCAGCGACTTACAGCAGGACTGCGGCAGACATTCTGACACTGGGTGGGAACTGCCTAACTGCCACTGACATCCCCAGTGACACTAATACAGTGATCAGTGCTAATAAAAAGCACTGACACTGTACTAATGACACTGGGCAGGAAGGGGTTAACATCTGGGGCAATCAAAGGGTTAACTGTGTGCTGTTTTACTAAGTGTGCTGTATGTGTTTTACTTGGAAAACATACTGCTGTGTATTTCTCTGCTGTGCAAAGAAATACACAGCAGCATGTTACTGCTGGCAGGAGAGAGACCTGTGTTATTTACACACAAAAGTCTCTGCCTTGTCACTGTTCCTCGTTGATCTCCGGTTGCTGTTGGGGAATCTCCGGCCGAGACCCGGTGATCGACATCTGAAGCCGTCAATGATGGCATGGGTAGGGCGGCAAGCGCACCCCTACCCAGAGATAAAAAAATCACGTATATATACATGTGACTTTGTGTAGCCCTGATGCAGCAGTTCTGCTATAGGGCGGTAGGGAAGCGGTTACTAAAGGACACTTACCAGTCCAGAGATCCAGCTTCATTTCTGGGTCCAGGCACCAGCATCTTTGGTGTGAAAAGCCAAGTCTGACAGCTCGCGGCTTCACAGTTGGCTTCTTACTATGCATGTGTGAGCCGTGCTGCGCTTTACGAATGGTCCCAAAGCCTTCTGGGACCTGTGACGTGTCCCAGAAAGCTGCAGTAAAGAGGGAGTAGCCTAGGTGATGCAAGCGCAAGTGGAAGCTGGTACCTGCCAGTACTAGGTGCTTGCTCCCACCCCCCCCCCATATGTGGTAGTGGTGGGGGGGGGGGGGGGGGGGGGCAAGGTGAGACTTAAAGCAGAACTTCCACTTTTGGGTGCAGTTCCTTTATTCCTATTTAACCCCTTAGTCAACCTATATCAGCCCCAAATCAATTCCTTTCTCACTTTTTTTCCCCCTTCGCTATTATTTTCTGCCTTTTTTTTACCTTAAAGTGGTTTTTAAGGCTAAAGGTTTTTTTCTACCTTCATGCATTCTCTGCATTAAGATAAAAAAAAAGCTTTCATGATCAACTCCTCCAGCCCTCCTATTACTTACCTGACCTGGATCTCAATCCAGCACTTAGCCTGAGAGCAGCTCGTGCTGAGTGTGTAAATAGAAACAGCTACATAGCTGCTTGCTTTGGAGGCACTCAAATGGGAGGAGGAGCCCAGACGCCAGTGAGGAACTCCAGAAGAGGTGGTTTGGGGCCTCTCTGTACAAAACTATTGCACACCATATAAAAAAAAAAAAAAAAAAAAAAAAAAAAACTTAACCTTTACAATCACTTTAAATATTATTTTTGGTTTTCCTTATTTTTGTTATTTTTTTTTTTTTTTTTTCAGCGTAGCATAAATTTTTGTTATTTTTTTTTTCAGTGCTGCATAGAAAAAATGTGCAACATTGCAACAAAAAAGAAGAGGTAAAATTGTTTAAACAGAGTAAAAAACATGTAAGTGATGTAATGGAAAGATGATCCAACCACTTGCCGTGCAGGTTTGGCCAAAGTGCGGGTGCAGCATGATGTACCTGCGGTTTTTAATGCGGGTTACTTGTGGTTTCTTACAGACTTTCTATCATGTCCTGTATCTTTGGTGTATTTTCTAAAAGTGCAAAAAAGATGCAGCATTCAGGCCTGTTGGTGTGCTTTCAGAAAACGCATCAAAAATGCAGGACATGAGTAGGAAATTGCAGGTGACCCACACAAAAACTGTAGCTCCACTGTGCTGCACCAGTGATGTGGCCAAACTGCAGTGTGGCAGTGTGAAATGTGGTTGGGTGGCATTTAAAACAAGGATTGAACAAATTTTTAGCACCAGCAACTGCCCCCTACCTTCCCTAAAGCTGCAAAGGCAGCAGGCGAGGGAATTCATATGCCGCAGTCTTGATGCTTTGCATCCTATCATGTTTGGCTGTATTGCAAAAGAATGGGGAAGAGTAGCAAATGAACGCAACTGCAGTGCATACATTGGTGCACCACTTACCGGGTTAAAACATGCAGTGAAGAGGTATCACATGCCTTTGAAAAATTATATGAACTCGGATCGCTTTTCAGAGGCACAGAAAATTAGCAAGACACCTAAACTTAACCTAAGTACTGTACAAAGGGAAGGTGGAAAAATTAAAAGCAGCTGAAAGATCCCGAGTTTGATTTCAGCATGCTCACCTGTACTATGGGAAGGACAAAAGCCAGAGTTTTTCCACTGCCAGTGGGTGCAGACACACAAATGTCACTGGGGCGATATCCTCCTTGTCCCAGAAGAAATCCATGAGTGCAGCTCTCCAGGATAGCTGGGATAACCTCAGCTTGAACTAACAATCAGGCAACGAAACAAAAAACAGAGTGAAAAATGATAACCTCTAACAGAAAAAATATACAATATACAGAGTGGCTGGACCTACCAGGAAAAAAGGAGTTCATTTTGTTGGCTTCCAGTTTATTTGCAAGCCTGCGATGCAAACCAGGGACATCATGAATGGAAACCAGGTTCTGCTTGATTTCCCTGTGAACAAGAGAAGGTTTTGCCAGCCACTGTGGCAGAACTGGCATCACCTGAAAAATGAATAAATATCTTGATTTATTTTCTTTTTTTATGGTTTTAAGATCTCAAGCCCACTTGCAAAACTGAGTCCTTATTTTCTGTCAACTGGAATAATTTCCCTAAATGGAGATGAAGTTCATTCCAGTGAGCTCATTGAGCACTGAAACATTTGAAATGATGCACAACATACAGTTATAGGTGGATCCAGTACGATAGAAAAATGTAATATAAAACGTGCCACATGGAAAATTTTAGAATAGTACAGAAAATTGACATGAATGTTTTTGAAAATGAAGATGCTGCCATGGTTTCCCTGCTGCTCCTATCTGAAGACTTTTTCTATATAGCTAACAGAATCAACAAATGGATGCTTAAGGCTGTAATGTATTTACCAGTTTAGATACTAGGTTAGGAGACTTACAAAGAGTTCACAGTAACATATTCTGTTGGTGTGACAAGACTATGCTGGTACATTCAATTTCTGATCTCCTAATTAAGCATTTAGTATAGCCTAACACCCAGACAAATAGCATTTTCAGAAAAAGAGGTCATTAGTTTCAACCACCATATTGCTCTTATGACAGGGTTCTTTACATATGAAACATGACCTACCTTTCAGCACGTATCCTAACCCTAGCAACATATTCTTAAATATAAATCAATTAACTCCTAAACTGTATTTCAACGTATAACTCCATTCTTCATTTTAACATGACCCTTGACTCTAAGTTTAACCACTTCAAGTCCAGACACTTTCGCCCCCTTCCTGACCAAGCCAATTTTTAGCTTTCAGTGTTATCACACATTAAATGACAATTGCGCGGTCATGCAACACTGTACCCATATGAATTTTTTAGCATTTTTTTGAGACAGATAAAACTTTATTTTCATGGTATTTATTCACCACTGTGATTTTTATTGCTATATAAATAAAAAAGTCCAAAAATTTTGAAAAAAAAAGTGTTTTTCTTATAAAATTTAGCAAATAAATTTATCTTTTATTCAGTTCATAAAAAAAAAAAAAAAATCCCAAATTGTTTATTGCTATATAAAAAAAAAAAGTCAAAATTTTGATTTTTTCATAAAATTTAGCAAATAAATAATCTTTATCTAAATCTTTTATTCAGTTAAAAAAAAAAAAAAAATAACCCAAATTAGTTTATAACCAAAAATTATAATTTTTTTTAAAATGTTTTATATTTTTATTTTATTTGTTTTTTTTTTTTTTACATACTGTCACCCTAGCAGTACAGTGTCACCATGGTGACACTGTACTACTTGTGGGGGGTTATGAAGATTTTTTTTTTTTTTTTTTTTTTTTTTTTTAACTACACCGATTGCTTTTACACCCATAAAAGCTGTAAAAAGCAATCATTTATCCTTCTCTCTGGCTGCATTCTTGCAGCCATTGAGAAATACTGTGTGAGCTGTGATTGGTCACAGCTTGTCACATAGTACAAGGCTGTTGTGAATAGCCTTGAATAGCCTTGCACACGTAGTAAGCAATGATATCAGAAGTGACATCTTGCTTACTACTCTTCATGTGATCACTGATTGGCCAATCAGTGATCACATAATTGGGATGTCGTACAGAGGTCCCATACAACGATCGGAGGACACAGCAGGCACTGGATCGTAGTGCTGCGCGCTCCCAGGGAGCGCGCACAAGCAGGGGGCAGGGAGGTCATTTATAAACAGCCACCCGTCCCTGCACTGCCACCGTCCGGCCATTTATATACAACGGCTGGACGGGAAGTGGTTAATGAGGTAAACCTTAAAGTGAACCTGTGTACAGATTATCCATATTAAAGTGGATCTTCAATCCCCCCTAAAATAAAAAATTAAAAGTCATCAGAAAATACCATAGCTGCTGAATTAATAAAAGGACACTTACCTGTCCAGGGATCCAGTGCTGTCCTCGCCAGAGCCGGTACTTCGCTGGTCTTTGGGTTCCCAGCCCTGCCATGCTCACCGTGCAAAGCCGGGTGTGACTCTTTACATCTTCACAGCTGGCTTCCCACTTCGCATGCGCAGGCTGCACTGTGCTGTGTGAATGGTCCCACAGCCTTCTGAGACCTGTGAAGTGTCCCAAGAGGCTGTGGGTGGGGAGGGTCAAACTTCCACTCAGATCACCTAGGCAATCCCGGAGGAAGAGGGAGAAGGTTCCTGTCACCCCCAAAAAATATCCAAAAGTTGAAGGGGGGGGGGGGGGGGTTGAAAGCAGAAAAGTGGATCTTTCCCTTTTGGGTGAAGCTCTGCTTTAAGTTACTTGTAAATTCCGAACGACCAGTGAAAGCACCTTAAAACAAGTCTTTAAGCTGGTCACAGATGGATCATTAACTTCTGTCTGTGTGGAAGAAGCCTTGAAGTCTTTGTTAGGTTCTTTGAGAGTTGCTAGTTTCACATTACAAGCAGCTAGAGAGGTCAAGAATGGCCATAATCTGGGCACCGATGCACTTTAAAGTGATTCTACAGGATTTTTTTTTTTGTCTATACTTACCCGCTGTGTGCAGTGGTTTTGCACAGAGCAGCCTGGATCCTCCTCTTCTCGGGTCCCCCACCGGCACTGCTGGCCCCTGCCCCATCGGGTGCCCCCAGCAAGCAGCTTGCTATGGGGGCACCCACTGCTCCATGTATCCATTCACAAACAGAGCCACAGCTCAGCCCCATTCCCTCTCTGTTCTCATTGGCTCACTGGCTGTGATTGACAGCAAAGGGAACCAATGGCTCCTGATTTTGTCTCAGCTAATGAGGAGAGGGAGTCCCGGGATAGCTGAGACTCCAGTGCACATCGCTGGATCCAGAGGGGGCTTAGGTGAGTATTAGGAGGGGCTGGGGAGATGCTGCAAACAGAAGGTTTTTTACCTTCATGCATAGAATGCATGAATGTAAAACACCCTGAGCCTTTAGAACCACTTTAAAGCCAAAGCCTTTTTTTTAGTTTTGGATAGAGAAGAAAAGGGTAAAATCCTGTTATACCATCAAGTAGATTTCCCTTTATTTATTGTCTGAGAGACAACAGGAAGCAAGAGAATACCTCTCCAAAGAAATCTCCTCTCGGACAGATGTCATCAGAAAAGATGTTCCCACTGGGACCTTTCCCCTCATCTTCTGTCTCTGCAAAAACTCTGCAATTTTGCATTTGACATCACTCCCCCTACTCAACACAATGGTCACCAGGACAAATAGAGGGCAAATCTCACCAGCAGGTACACAGACAGCAATAGAAACCTGACAGAGATCTTCAACACCTTTTCCCTATCCAAACTGAATTAAAAAAAAAATCTTGCCTTATATATAGATGTATTATGTATATATATTGTGGATCAATCCAGCACTGAGATGTACATGCACTGAAGTCTTCCATTATGCACAAAGCTAATAAATGTATAATAGAAGACTGCTTCTGAAAAATACAGCTGAAAAAGATGGATACATTCACAGAGAATTCAGCTGTCAGTTAATCCAAACTAGGAGGCAGATGGCCATTTTATGCAACCAGGGGACATGGAGTTTTAATGACAACAATTCAGACTCCAAAAATGTATTCAGTAGTTTCTGTATGCCCATTTATTATCTGGGCTTTTTCCCAGCAGAAAACAAAAATCTTGCAATCATCACGCCATAGTCTCACCTTCAGAACAGGTTTAGCCTCAAAGCCACCTAGCAGGAGAGAGTTTGGACCTGAGGAGCTTTTATGAGCGGAACTTCTCTCTTCCACCTTTGCATCTTCTTTTCGTTCTCCTGGGGTAACAGAAACTTTGGGAATTTTCTTTTTGCGCTGCTTTTTCACCTTTACTTCCTCAGTCTCTATCGATTCTTTCAGTTCAACATCATCGCTGGATTTTTTCAGCTCAGCTGTTATGTCAGGGAGACTTTTCTTTCGCTTTTTCCCTTTTCTCTTTGATTCAGGTTCCTCTTTGTGGTTCCTGGTCTTAGTGTCATCTTCTTCCTCTTCATTGCTGGACCTAATACCTTCATTTACTCCTTTCTTTTTATCCTGAAATTCTAATTGCCGATTCCTGACTTGTTGGTGTAGCTTTTCCAGCAAAGCTTTGGAGCGATCTTCAGATGAATCCACCTCATCTCCGAGGTACCTGGAACGGTTTGAAAATTTATTAGATATATTTAGGAACAGAAAATATACTTCCTGCAAGAAAACGCACATGGAATACACTGGATGGATTGCAAAGTGATCACTAAAGGCAAAAGCAGGCAATAACAATGAATTTACTAAAATGGAGGATAAATGTTTGTTTCTTTATATATATATATATATATATATATATATATACACACACAAACTGAATTTGCAGCAAATGACAGATAGCACAGAGGTCACAAACACTACACCTAAAAGCTTGATCAATATATAGTAGTCTGTATCACCATCAATGTCCATGCTGACAGGAGAGAGATCTGTGTTGCCTACACACAGGTCTCTCCCCTCTCCGCTTTGCCAACGATCACCGAGTCCCGGCTAAAAATCGCAGGACAGGACCCAGTGACTGACATCTTTAGGAACCAATAGCATCGTGGGTAGGACGGCATGCACCCCCTACCCTGAAATGCACAATCACATATATTTACATGATTTTGCCCAGCGAAGCCACCCTGTAGCAGTAAATCTGCTATGGGGCAGCGGGTAAGTAGTTAAAACCTGAAAGCTGGTTCCTATGCCGAGCTGCACCAGCTTTTGCAATCTCCAGTGTCAGTAAATAACTCCAGTATGTGCTGTTGGTGTGATAAAGAGAACTGTGGAAGGAAAGCACAGGCTTGTTTCATGGTTGTTCAGGACTTCAGTAACTGAAAGCTTTGGGAGGTTCACTCAGCTATTAAGAGTCAGAGATTCATTAGAATTCTACGTTTATACTTCAGTAAGGCAATACAATACTATATAAGACTGCCTCATTGTGTCCGAGATACGATCTGTGTAATATAGATGATACAAGGAGGAAACACACCATACCTGTTAATCACAAACAGTGACATGCCGACTCCTCCACTACATGTGATCTGTACTGTACGCAGCAGCAACCATCACGTGTTCTCCCATGTAGTGTCGCACAGCAGTGACATCAGACACATGGACCTAGGGAGACGTGCATATTAGCAGCGCCATCTGCTGCCTGGACTGTGTTAGGTAGCACCTCTGACTGAAACACTGTTACTAGCTAATTAAGTGGATCTTCACCCAGGGAATAAAAAATAACTTGCACCTGGCTCCTTCCCCCTCTTTAGATTCAAAATAAAAAAATACTTTTTTTTCTTTGGCACTTCCATAATTCTCACGTTGGCAAGAATGGTGTTGCACTCCTTGTAGAGTATTGCAGCTAGGGACACCACCTCATCCCTTTAAAACCCGAACACATATTAAAGTGGAGCTCTACCCAAAAGGGGAAGTTCCGCTTTAAGCCTTTGACCCCCACTCCCCATTAAGCATTGACACCTTTGGGGAGCGGGTACCCGAATTTGACAGGTACCCGCTCTCACTTCTGCTGCGATCGCCTAGGCGATCGGAAGCGGAAGTTGTACTCCCCCCCTCCCTCCCTGTAGTCTTCTGGGACACGTGACAGGTCCTAGAAGACTACAGGGCCATTCACAAAGTGCAGCGCTTCTCGCGCATGCACAGTGGGCACCCGGCTGTGAAGCCGCAAGCTGTCACAGCCAGGTACCCACACTGAAGATGCCGGCGCCAGGGAGAGAAGATGGCCAGTGAAACCAGCGGCGGTGAGGATACCGCTGGACCGAGGGACAGGTAAGTGACTGTATTTTGAAAGTCAGCAGCTACAGTTTTTGTAGCAGCTGACTTTTATTTTTCTTTTTTTTTCAGCTGGAACTCCGCTTTAATTAGACAGGTTCTGAGGCTAATTTAATGCAGATGAGGCACTAAGTGAGTTTAATTACCACCTTAACCACTTGCCTACCGGGCACTTTTACCCCCTTCATGCTCAGGCCAATTTTCATTGCTTTCACACTTTGAATGAACTTTCCATTAAATTCGGTGTTGCCGAATTTGTATAGTGAGCTGCACCTGCACAGCTCACTGTACAAGGGTGGACAGGCAGGTAAGTAGGTTTAAAAAAATAAAAGGAACACTGTGTTAGGATAGAAAAAAGGGAAAAAACTGATGAGTCCAGATACAAAAACTCAAAAACAGGAAAAAGCGATAAGGTATTAATAATATGTCAAATAAAATTATGAATATTATAAATAAATCACCAATATCACATAAAAAGTGCAAAAAACATTGATATAATACAGTGGGAGCTTTAATGCAGATGAGACAGGCTATGGAAATAGCCTGTCTCAAAAAAAGTGACGTCAGAAAAAGACTGAGTGGTCCATCGAGTCTGCCTGTTTGTTTGTTTTTTGCTTTGTTTTTGGTGGGGGGGGGGGGTTGTTTTTTGTTTTGGTTTTTTTTGTGTTTTTTTTTTTTACTTTTTTGTCTACGTATATGCTTGCCCCACTCATGTTTGAAGCTATTTGCTGTTGACTGGCTCACTACCTCTGCTGGATGTTTATTCCAAGCATCAACAACTCTTTCAGTAAAATAATACTTTCTGAGATTTTGAACTTTCAGGGCTAGTTCACATTAGATGTAGTCCAGTTTTTTTCTGAGACAACGTGAAGAAAGTACTGCCGATAACCGGCAACTGTATTTACTCTGTGATCTGTTGTGTCATTGGACACAGCTGATCATGTGGCAAAAGGCCGCTGTGATCAGCTGTGTCCATGGGACACAGCGATCAAGGAGATCGTCAGGTGTGCACCGCTGGGGGCGCGTGGAAGGGACCATTCTGGGAGGACACGACGCCCTCCCAGAACTGGATAACCGTGCTGTAACTGTCATTCAACTATAGCGCGGTTAGCAAGTAGTTAAAAATCCTGCCTGTGCCAATTTTTCATTTTTACCTAAAGTTCCACTTTAAGGTAATCACTTTGTTTAATCATATTCATTATGTTAAAATGATTCCTTTTCGGAATTCGTTTCATATATTCAGTTTCGTTTTTAAATATTTCGGCTAAATATTTGTTTTAATATGTTAATTCGTTATTTCAAATTACTTATACACTCTGAGTCATCCCTGCCAGTCCAACCCACAAAGAGAAATGGAATGAGTTGATTTTTTTTTTTTATAATAATGAAAATTGTTAAAGAAAAATAAAAACGAAATGGATCCAAAAGGAACAAGAAAAAAAGAAAATAAACAAATAGAATGAAATTAATTTCGGATTCACTCTGTATGTTATGATTCGGAGGTTCTGATGGATCCACCTCCATCCAACCCAAACACAAGTAGAAATCATCATCCTATTTCGCTTTTATTTCTCACTGTATTTATTGCAAAATGTTTCCATTTCACTTGTAGTGCATTTGTTAATAATAATGAAAAATGTAATGCAAATAACTGGCTAAATATCTGAATAAAACAAAAGGAACCAAATCAATCTGGATCCTCCATTATGTTCCGTTATTTCAGATGCTTCAAACATTAATGAATATAACTGGATACTAACATCTATAGGTAAAGTTGATCCAGGTATATCCGATTGCCTCTCAGGGGATCAGGAAGGAATTTTTTCCCCTGCAGGAGCAAATTGGATCATGCCTTGCTGGGGGGTTTAGCCTTCCTCTGGATCAACTGTGGGTATAGGATTTTTTTTTTTTTTTTTTAATGGTTGAACTGGATGGACATTTGTCTTTTTTTCAGCTAGACTAACTATGTAACTATGAAAGGTTCAAACTATTTCATCATGTCATCCAAATGAATGAAAGAAATTAATCTCAATGATTTTGTTGTTTCGTTATAATTTATTTTGGATTAGTTGAAATTCATTACTATTGTGATTCAGAGTTTTGATAACATCCGAATCACGAAAATTTCTTCCGAATTTAGATTTGTAATTAAATGAATCACACATGTCTATTGTATTGCATTTCTTTGCATAAACCTAGGTTCACAAAGTGTTGCTGCATAATCATATGGTTTTCACTGCATTTTTGTAGTGTGTTTTTGCACTTTCAAAGCATTTTCATGCTTCAAGTATTTTTTTGTAGGAGGAGACTGGTTGTTAAACACAAACCCTGCCAACAACACATGTACATATGTTTTTTTCTGTGTTTTTTCATGTACCTTTTTAAAAAAAAATCACACTGCATCATGTTGCATTGATGTGATTACGCACCATAGATAATAAAATGATTTCCATTGTCTTTCATGGTAGCATGATGAGAGACACAGAACAAATCGCATTAGTGTGAATGGGGCTTGCAATGTGTGTTGCATGGTGAATGAGGCATTGTTTTCTATGTGCCCTTGCAGTGATCTGCATTTATCCAGCCCAGAAAATGAAGGTTACAGGACATGAGCTCTTAATAAAACTATACGAAGGGATTATGGCATTTTCTTTTCAGCTCTCTGTCTTTACACCTCAAAAATATTGATACCAGAATAAGGTATTGCTGGCACTGTCTGTGAAGATTGTATTGTTCTGTAATACCAAATATAGCTTAAAGCAGAACTCTGGGCAAAAACTTCTTTACATGTGTTTGTTGCTGATTTCCTACCTTCACTGAATATATCATCCATCTTCTGGTTGACTCAGTAGGTGCTCTGAAATAGCCTGTTTATTTTCAAATCAAACTGTTAATTCTCTTGGTTTCCTGTTTGTAAGACCGCTGCCTCCTATTCCCCAAGCTGCTGGTCTTGGCACTTCCCTTCTGTAGTTCTTTCTGATGTAATTCAGCCTCACTTGCAATGGTGGGCAGACAGAGACTATCAGACACATTCAACATGCACAGACATAGTGTACCCGCCCACATTCACTGCAATTCCCTGTACTTGATGGGAACTGTAGTTTCCTTTTACTGCCGAAAGAGAGGAGAGGATATGATGTAATCCCTGCTGTTACACCTCGTCCTTGGCAGAGCATTCAAGAGGAGAAAAAAAACACAGTGGTTGGCTGCCCAGGGATTGTTCATTGTAAAAGCCAATCAGAGGGTATCACAGCGATCAGGTGATCCCGATTGTTAGTAAGAGACCCAGAGCTGTCACTGTGCTAGGAGCAATTGTGCAGAGCACTCTCAGAACCAACACAGCAGCAGAACATATATGTGGCTCAACAGATAAAGACCCACTTCCCCGAGGCTGCATATACTGTATGTATACGATTGGTGGGAAAGGGTTATATTTAATTAGAATGTACCTTCTATCTTTCCCTTCCCTGGTTCCATCTTTCAAATCCAAGTTTTTTTCTGTATTCTCAAACTTCCTATCTTTCTCCATGCCCCCCTTCTGTATGTCCTGCTTGCCCCCCCAGATGGACTACACACTTACCTGCAGACACATTCAGCTTTATGGGAATAATAATACACATAGAGAGGATCACGAGACAAGAATTAACCGGCACTGCTCTCTCTACATTAGTAGCGGTGAGCTGCATCAGTGGAGGATAGGGAGTGTGCACAAGACAATAAGAAGCCAAACAATGGTAAGAGACTTTAAGGCTAGGTTCACACCTGTGCAGTTTGTGTTTGATCCATTTCTGCAGTGCTTTTTGTGGTGTGCTTCACGTTTTTGCATGAGTTTTTGACGCGTTTTTACTGTGTTTTTGATGCGTTTTTTTTCAACTTGTTGCTGGGCAGAATAAAACGCAAAACGCATCAAAAACACATGCTTTTCTGCAGCGTCCCCATTGAAGTATATAGAACCAAAAACGCAACATTTTGCATTGAAAAAAGTCCCTGACCCTTTCCAAAAAATGCATCGGGTGAAAACACAGAGATGTGAACCTGTCCCATAGGAAATCATGTTAAATGGACTGCTGTGCATTTCTGCAGAACAAAGGGTAGCAGAAAAATGCATAGGTGAAAACCTAGACTAAAGCCAACCATACATGGGTCGAATTCCGAAAGAATTTTCTTTCGAAAATCTTTTCTAAGAATTTTCGTTTGAATTTCGCACCATTAGTGGGTCACAGAAACGGCC